CTTCAGATGAATGGAAGAAGGGTTCAACTGTGTTTAGCACGCCTCGTTTCTGTTTCATAGCTCACTGACCTCAGCTGTTAACACTACATACTGCCCTCTGGTGGCATTTTAAAGCATTGTATCATTGGCCTCTCAGTAGCCATCCCTGGTAGAATCCACGTTCCATTCAGGCAGATGGGACTGAACACCTGGTTATACCTGATTTTAACACCTGATCTGTAGCACGTAATACGTGTCCCCAGATGAGTGATCAGGATGCAGCTCACATGCTAATGCTGGGTGTGCCGGTGTACCTGTTGTACCTGACAGGACGTTGCTCTTCTGTTTCCTGTTGCTGCAGCAATGCATGGACCTGCGGGAGCGCCTGCTGGGGCAGCAGAGAGACACTCAAGCGTCGCTCGACCGCCTCAAAACTCTCATTAGGTTGATCCAACGCGACCAGCTCATCCAGGTCACCATGACGACCACCGCCACCATCGCCACGTCGTTGCTCTCACAGTCCTGGATCAAATCCACCAGCACCGCCGCCGCCGCCACCCCGCCGGGCCCCTCGGCCACGCCCCTGCAGACAAGCCACAGCCAGGACGACGTCAACATCTAGCCCCGCCCACCAGAGCTCCGAGTTTTTCCACAGAGGGCAGCGGTGATGATTTCTTTAGTCAGAAAAATATTGATGAAGAGCCTCTATCCTCCACACGATTCAAGTATTTTTTAAAACCCAACACCTACAGTGCTTACGAGATTTCTTTTTTTAAGTTCTTTTCTATTTATTAACATTCTTGGCCTTAATGTATTTATTACAAAAAGTTCGATTACAGCGTGGCGGCGGGAACGCGCGGCCCAGAAGATATTTCCCTTTTTTGAAACACAGGTCTGATTCCTGTCCTGCGTATAGAGAGAGAGAACAGTAGAGTTAGAGTAGATCCAGGATGGATGGAAGTGGACGGACTGTACATTGATATATCTGAGTAAATGTTTGTTCTCATTCTCCTATGAACAATGTTTTTGCCATAATGATTCAGGAAAATGTTTTCATCGTGTATGTGAACGCATACGAGCCTTCAAACAAAAGCAGAGAATAACTTTTTTCAGTATTAATAGAGTTAAAGTCAAAGAAAAAAAGTATTTAAGATTAAACTACAGAAATTAGCATTTCTAGTGGAGATTTTAGTATTTTCATGCTGATGCCTGTTGAAAAATGTAAGTTTGGAGTATTCAAGGGGATCACTGTACATATGTTGTATTATTATTATTATTATTATTATTATTATTATTATCACCATCATGATCATCGCAGGGTTTTTCTTTTTCGGTTTTCAAACTTTACCGAAGTCACACGTCTGAACGAGACGAGTTCCTGCTCGTTTAAAACATCCACTTCCTGTTTGACAGCAGAGCCAGAGAAACATGCCAGACATATTTTCATTAAAATTCATTTCTTATTTAAATCAATAGTAAATATTGATGCATCTAGATTGTAAAAATAACTGCAGAGCTTCACATTCTCTTTAAGGTTTAGTCGAAGAAAAGCAGAAAACAAACCATGCAAACTCTAATCTTTGCTCTTGAAAAACTAAGACTGCACTTAAAAAGTCAAAACTGCTCTGAAGCTCTGAATGATATGAGTTATTAGAAAACCATTTATAAAAACCGCTGAGCCCGACATTAAACTGGATTTAATTGGTTCAAACACCATGATGGTCAGATACCATGAGCGACGATAGTAGGACCACAAATGTTTGATCTCCAGTGAACCAACACAGACCTTACGGGAAGTTCACACAGGCCCAGCACTGAGTTTGTCTGCTGCTCACTGTGCAGCCAGTGCACGCTCTGCTGGACAGGCTGGGTCACTCCTCATTCATCCTCAGCACATTATCTGCATCATGCTCAGTTTGAAAAACCCAAAATGTTTCAGTATCAGATACGTGTATGCTGAAGCAGACAGAAGAAGCTGCTTCCACATTTACGAGGGGTCAACACAACACGTTTAATCTGGAGAGTTTTACTCCTGATGTGACCTCAAACTGATTTTTGTCTCATTTCAACATCACCCATCAAAATACTGAGTCAAGTCCTGTTAGACCACAGAAGAAACACATTCACGGCTTTAATATTAAGAACCAGCAGATCTTCAGTAGTCTCTGAATAAACTGTAAGCTGTGTGTAAGTGAACTTCTCTCTTCGTGCTGAGCTAAAGTAAAAAAATCCCGCTCTGCTGTCACAGGAAGTGATTGGTTAAGTGGGCGGGGACCGCCGTGTTCGCTCACAGCTGCACTCGAACACGCCGGCGCTCAGTCGATGTGACCCACCCGCCCCCTCTCACCTTTAACCAGTATAAAAAATATGCCAAAAACATTTTGTTGTTTTTGTACTGGGATCAGTAATGTGCTTTTTTTCTTCCCCTGCCCGTTTTTATATTTTTCGCTTTTTTTACTCGTGTTTTTCGAACAGCGACAAGCCTGTTAATCCGACAGATGAACACTGCCTCAAGTACAAATTGTTTGAAATCCAGGGTTTGCGTCTTTGTTGCGTCATTTTATAAACACGTTGATCGGAAATGGGACCGCTCTGTCAAACTGTCGGCGGGCCGGGACGCCGCTGTCAGTCCATTTGTCTCGCTAGTCTTCCTGCTGGTCCAGAGAGGTTCCATTTGAGTGTTATGAAGTTAGATTTAGTACATTTTTTATTTCTTTATCATGCAGCTCTCAACTTCCTGTCGATGCACAAACATGAAGAAACGGTCAGAAAAACAAAGGCTTTATCAGGAGGACGGGAAGGAATACATAAAGACGTGATTTTATTTTATGAGTCATATCAAGTCCAAAATACCGAAAAGATCCTTAATGTTGGAGAAACATCATCTGCACAAAAGATTAAAAAGCAGCCAAGCGACTCTGAATGAAAGAAACGATGAGCAATACATCGGCAAAACGGTTCCAAAGTGACTTCACTCCAAAAACACGTGCAAAGGCCTCCATCGGCTTTTGACCGTGCTGAGAGACAAAAGTGGGCACGGAAACACGACAGCCTGACTTTTCCAAAAGATGCTTTGAAGCTGACGCCTGAAATCTGTGCACCTTCACGTCCATTAGGTTTTAAAGAAAAATTGAATTTTAGAACCTCAACCCAAATCGAATAAATCAGGGCCACAGAGACTGAAAGGATTTTTGGTTTGTTCTGCTTTCATTTTGACTTAAATCTGCGAACATGTTCATAATGATGGATTCTTGTAACTCCAAGAGTCAGTAACATGAACTGACAAAATAAATAAAAGAACAGACGGTATCAAAAAGGATTACTTTTAAACTACTGAGAGTAAGAAGAAGGCGTAGGTTGTGAAGGTGCACAGACCACAGACACCTCGGCTGACCGAGGGATCCCAACCTCAGATGAACGTCTCTCAGCACCAAATTTTCCTGCGTCCGTCGTTCTCTCTCGTCAAATGAACAAGTAGTTTTTCAGAATAAGAGCTCTGTCAGATTACAGAGCCTGGAAGGAAAGAATTTTCCTAAATTCTGACCCCAAAGTGCTGATCTCTGAACCATGTGCTCAGGTTAGTGAGTCCTGGTGCAAATAAAATGTTTTACATCAGAGGAAAGCAGCACATTGACGAAGAGATGCACGGGGATCTGTGTGGCTACCTTAGCTAATGAAGTCTTGGATTCAGCCCTTTCAAAATAAAACGGTTCAGTTTATGCTCCTGCATTATTAGTCAACACAAAAGGTCATCAACACCTTTTTTTTCCACTAACTTTGTTAACCTCACAGCAGCCATATTGTTTAAAAGGCACCAACAGCACAAATTTGGTCCAGTCCAGACTCCAGTTGGCTGAGGTGAGGCCTAGCAGACAGCTAGTAGCTACAGCCACCAGTGTCACCATCACCTGCCAGTCAAAGAGGTCCCGTGAACTGCAAACTTTAAACCTTAATACAGTTTAAAACAGTTGAGTTATAAAAACTTTCTTCCCCTTACAGTTGTTTGTCTCTGACTCCAGATATGAACCTCAAACTGTTACGTCTCCTTCTTCTCCAGTATACAAAACTGTCATCTGCATATGGAGACACTCATTCATCTCTTTTACTTCCTCTTATCTTTATTCTGTATCAAAAGTTTCATACAGTTGTTATAATGGGGGAAATTATCTAAAGAGACCAACAGTTTTTGTATCAGGCTGTAAACATGTTTATTTTTACTGACTCACTGCTGCTGCCTCTGGTGGATATTAGAGCTTAACGTAACTTAACTCTTGAACTAAACTCTTCCTGGCTCCGAATTTGAGACGAACCTTCAGTAAAGTGTAAAAACATAAGATTAAATCTTTGAGGGTGACGTGAATGATGCCATGTGATGCATATCGAGTAGGGAAATAAAACCAGAAGGAAACCATATCAGCGCTCTGTGCCACGTCCATGCTCCGCCCCTTTAAAATGAACAAACCTGTCCCTGCGAACGAACCTCTTCATCCGTTTCTAGAAATCCTCTCCGGGAGAAACTGTGCAGTGCTTAAACAGATCTATTTTAATACACGAGTCGACATTTGAACAAAAACATTTTTATATTCTTTTATGGAGGAGCAAAACGAGAAAACAGAACATTGGATTTTCTATTGTTTGCCAGTTCTGCATTCTGACTTCTCGCTTCGGTGTATTATTTTAACCACGAGGAGGCGGCGACGGCGATACGAGGGTGTTTAGATGGAAGTGAAGTGTGTGTTGGCTGTGGAAGTAGAAGTTTTCTTTGTCATTGATAAGGGGACTGTCCAGTGGATAGTGTGTATAGGAAAGTGTTTGTCTTAAATATGCCAATGTAGTTTTTCTTCTTTATGATGCATTAAAAAGCGGATTGATGGAAGGTGGTAAATGGTTAAAGAGTAGTCTCACCTTTTTGTACCAAGTTCTTACGAAAAATTTAATCATTAATAAACAAAATTCAAGAATAAAAACGGCTCAAATTTGTTTTATTCTTAGCAGTTTCTCTACAGTCTGCTCTTATTTTGAAAGTCCAGCCCTTGTGTTTCCTAGCAGCTGACTCACTGATGAGGATTTTGCTTTGGTGGTCCTCCTCCAGCTCTCAGACCACCTGAAGGTTCACGTTCACCTCTTATCTGAAGAAAACGTGGTTCAGAGCAGGAATGAATCACCTTCACACCAGAAAGCTGAGGGCTGAACCTGAACTCACCTGCGCACGGGTCTCCTCAGGCTCGGATTTTACTCAATTGTAGATGAGGATTCTGATTTCTGCTCAGTGTGAAGCAGAACTTTCTGAATTTGAGGCTCACAATGAAATAAGAGCGTGCTCAGTTTGAGCAGTTACAGGTAAAGTGACCTCAGGAGAGGCTGAAGGTGAGATCGGCTGAATTTAAATTGGGGACAGAAAATGGGGCAAGCTGACCGTGTACCTGCATGCTCATTGGCTAATGAACATACACTTCTTGGACGAAGCTGCTCAGCATCAACCAACCGTTTTTCTCCAATAACGCGTGAAGTCCAACAGTGAAAAAAAAATCTAAACAAAAACAGGTGAAAGCAGAGAATTTATCACATATAAAGGTACATTTAAAAGATAAACCTCTGGGTGTCTTCTGTCAGGAAAACATTCTGTTTGTACAAACCTGATGAAGACGGCGCTCTGAGGGTTTGAGGTTGTTACAAAAACAAAACTTACTGCAATCAGTTTTTACATTTGGCGGTCTGCACTCGACAGAAACACAAAATACCACAAACATGGAAACGGATTCCAGCTTCTCGTCCAATCAGATCACCTCCAGTGTTATTACTTCATTAAAGATGAAACACTTAAACTATAAATAAAACCAGTAACGTCACCATCATGAGTCCAAACGTGAAGGTTCATGCTTGGAGGTTCACCTTGCATTTGACCTTTTTAAAAACGATAAGAGTTAAAAAAAAACCAAAAAAAAAAAAAACAGTTGCCGCCGTCCTTCAGGGCATCACCTGTGCAGGTGGGCAGCGGGAGCCGAACACTGTGTGGACGTGCTCGATGAGGAGCTCAGCGAAGATGTTGATAGGGGTCAAAGCGGTCAGGGAGATGGAGCCGTGACGAGGCCAGACCAGGTTCACGCCAAAAACACACGCCAAGTTAGATGGAGACATCTTGTTTATGATGCTTTCCTGAGATACCTGAAGGGGGCGCCGCACAGGCGAGAGAGAGGGAACAGAGAAAAGACATCAACAAACTGGAAAGGTGCTGCAGCATTCAGTTTGACCTGCTGGTGGCAGTGGTGTCTCACTGTTAGAGTAAAGTCACCGATACACAAACAAGTCCGACAGATCAAATGATGTTTTTGTATATTTAAGATGATTTTTATTGTAACTTATTTCCATATTCGAAGGCGTTGCTGTTTGAGTCGTTTCATATGTGACGTCACAAGTATGTAAATCAGCTGCTGAGACTGCTTCATTTTACAAATCTGACCAGCCATCTCCGTTTACAGTCTCAACTTTACAGCAATAAAAATCTGTTTGCTCCAATCAGCTGTTTGTGTGTCTGATCGATCACCTCCTGATTGGTGCTTCTCAGACTCATCTGAGCCGTGACTCACCTGGTGCAGGAAGCACAGCAGGTACTTTGCCACAATGAAATTATGTTCAGGTAGACTCTCGACGATCTGTTTGCATCGGGTCACCCGCAGACTGCTCTCCACATCTGCAACCAATCAAAAACCACTTTAGTCTCTAGAGAACACAGCCCCTTTTTCTTCTTCTCCTGCACAAATGCGGAAGTGCGGGACTCACGGAGCAGCTCCTGGACCTGGCTGTAGACCCGGAAGGTGAGCAATGGCTCAGGAAGCTCTCTGAGGAATGTCTTCAGGATCACGGCAGGAACGTGCACATCTCCTATCTGCTCGAAGTTCACCGGCTTCCCTGCATGAGTTTAAATAAAGTTAACTTTATTGACAATGCTATTTTTCACAGATCCTGAACTCAAATTTATCCACAAATTTTAAAAATGAAGATATGAAAATAAAATAAAAAATAAGATCTTTTTTATAAAATAAAAAATAGTCCAATAGAAAAAATGGAAACAAAAACAAATATTTGAATCAAACTACAAGAAACAAAAATAATACATAAGATAAATATAATCAAACTTCATGAAATAACATTAATAAATTGGAACTACAGCAGTGTAGCTTATATGAGTGGAAAAAGGATTGAAGAGGTTTTTTGGGTGAGCAGTACAGTAAAATCATCAATCAGAATCACCAGGAGCTGCTGTGATTGATTGATCACCTGGAGATTGATCTGTGATCATGCTGATCTTAAATGTTACGTTCATGAACACGAGCTGTTTCCCATTTCTCACAGTTATCTCCATCTGAAGGCGTCACCTCGCACGGCAGGAAGTTCATTTAATGCAACATTGGCCTCAGCATGACTTCCTGTCTGTTTTGTTTTTTTTATGACGATCTGAGAGCCCCTTCTGCTGAGGCAGGGAGACCCCACTCACCCAGGTTGTAGAGTTTCTGTACTTCCTTAATGAGCTGAACCCGAGCCGATCGCCTGAAGAGCCCCTCAGTCCTCAGACCTGAAACACACCGTGATGCATTCACTGACATCAGCTGACAACGTTTTTCTCCGGTTTACAGTCGACTGCAGATAATCTCCTCACAAACTCTGATCACAGGTCTCACCTTACTGACCTCACTTTATCTGACTATCCAGACAGAGCTCTCAACTGGATCAGGTGACCCTGAACTCACTGTTCTGAGATGAAGCCTCACCTTTCTCCTTCAGGTATGTGACAGTCTGGGTCATCACAGGTGGGATGACGGCCTCTCGGTTCTTCTCTCTGATGCTGTCAGAAAACATGTTTCATTGATTAAAACCGCTCGTTAGCGATCGACTAAACTACAGAGGGACACTCACTACTGCAGACTAACGCCGAACTGCTGGGTGGGCAGGGGGGGCCGGGGCGGGGGTGTTTTCACAGAGGGCGGGGGTCCTCCTTTCTGAGTCGCTCGCAGCTCCTCGTCATGTCTGTGGAGAGACGATAAACACGGTGAGGAGCCGTTGGGCGTCCGAGCAGTTGGGCGTCCGAGCCGAGGAGCACCGACCTGAGCACTTCTAGAGGGATGAAGAGCTGCTCGTAGTTCAGGTGTTCCTGAAGCTCAGCCAAGTAGTTCACATACGTCAGCTTCCTCCCAAACTTGTGACTGCAAACAGAGAAGAAGAGACGAAGAAGAATCAGCTGCAGCGTGACCGAGAGCAGCTAGAGAACTTCCTGCTAAGCCTCAGGTGTGCTCAGGTACATCTGTACCTGATCAGAGGTTTGAAAAGGTTCCAGACGATTCGGATGAAGTTGGTGGGATGGACAACGTACAGAGCCTTCAGGTTCTTCTTGTACCTGAAACACATGTGAACACACCTGCTGAATAATCCACTAAAATGAGCAGTCTGGTTCTCGGTCCATGATCTGTGGCTCTCCCTGACGGTTCGTGATACCACGGTAACCTGACCGATACCACTTCTCAGAGACAGGTGAACAGGTAGAATCGACCCTGACGCACCCCTCAGGACTCATTGCTGCACCTCAACACAACTTTAAGCACATTTGAAGAGCTAAAGAGGTGCAGATATGTCCCTCAGTGCCGAGCCTGGTACCACATTTTTTAAAAGGTCATTTTTTGCACTTTTACAATTAAAAGGTCCAAATAAATAGAATCGAATTGAATCGAGTTGAATGCAAAACTGATCGACCGCCCAGCCTGTAGATCCCGGCGGCTGTTACCTCCTCTGACTGAAGGCTGGAGTAAAGCTGGAGGTTCTAGTTCTCCACAGAAACGCTAAAACGTCTCCGAGACTGAAGCTCGGAGTAAACTGTGGAGGGTCTGAAAGGGTTTCCTGCTGTATAGGAGCTGATGGTGCAGCTGGTCCACACACTCTGACGTCACACTGAGCATGCTCTGTAGCAGACCTGAACTTGAGGTTCTGGTCTCTGCAATAAAGCGCTGAACTTGACTCATAAAGAGTACAAGAAATTGAGGTGACCTACTTCCTGTCGAACTCGCTGTAAGCCTCTCGTAGCCACTTGAGAGACGGCTTGTTGCTGCTCCTCAGGCCATAGTGAAAGTACACCAGGATGTAGTCCATCTCCACGTACTGGTCCAGTGTGAACTTCAGGTACCTGCAGACAGAGAACATTGTGAAAACCAACCACAGAGGACCTGTATGTCTCTGACCATGGCAGGCTGCAACATGGACTCACTCGAGCAGGCGGCGGTGATTCAGCTGGTGCGAAGGTGGTAGGCAGCAGCTGCTAAAGACAATCAGCTTCCTGCCGTAGTGGTCGTCCCCTGGAACCAAAAACGGCGAGAATATTAGCAGATCATTAGCATTGGTGGATCGTTCTGAACTGGTTGACTGAAGCGGAGCTTACCCGAAACCTGGATGATGCCGTGTCGAGCCACGTCGTAATACGGGTGGGAGGGGTCGAGACTTGGTGTGCTGACTGGAGGAGCTGATGGACCGTCTGTGACACAACTGCCCTCCTCCTCCTTCTGCAGCTCTGTTAGAGGAAGAACCACCTGAGTAACTCACACCGACAGTGTCTGTCTGTCTGATTGAGTGTGTGTGTGTCTCTGCCTGCCTGCGTGTGTCTGAGGTGCATTTGAACTCTTTAAAGCTTTCCTTTACAGCTGACTGATCAGCTGATCCATCAGGAGCTTCCACATTTAGTCAGTAACAGAAGATCCTTCACAATAAAAACCTGCAGATGTAACCACTGGTTATATTTGAGATTAAAAAAGTAACTGACCAATCAGATCTCTGGAAAATGACCTCACCATTGTGTCTGTAGTAAAGTGTGAAGTGGGCGTGACACTCGTCAGCTTCAGTGTGAGCTATAAATTCTGATTAATAACCCTGATATGACGCCAAGCTGCTCCCCTCTCCTTTGAAGAAGTCAAAGTTTAGCCTGAGAATAATCACATGTGATAAATTGCTCATTTATGAACCTGAGGAGAAGAAATTACACATCAGTGTTTCCCCGTCACAGCACAGACTTCCAGAATAGAACAGTTCCACTTCTGGACATTCCTCTGACGTTACTGTCACAGACCTGAAGTTACTGTTTCACAATTTCTAATCTTAGCTTTCTCTGTAACATCAGTCTCTCTGCTATCAGAAGATCTGTTTCTAATTGGTCAACAGCTGATAACTTCGCCTCATTCATGAGACTCGAGCCAGACTGGTAACAGGAACCTGCTCCTTCTGACCTCATCAAGGTCTTATCTGCTGCTCTCGGTCTCCATGTTCAAGTCAGGCTGCCCTCAGAGGTCCCAACCTCAGACACAGCTTCACAAAGACTATCCAAACACAGTTACACACATCATCATCATTATCATCGTCACCATCATCACCACCTGAGTTTTGGCTGAGTTTTTAGAAATGACCGGTGATTAGTTCTGAATTCCAAACGTGTAGCTCCGCCCATTTCCGAGATGACTTCCTGAGATCAGTGATTATCAGGGTGGAAACTGGAGCTGTAATCTGTGCTCGGGAAGTTTGTTGTAAACACACAGCAAGGTTGATAACAGACAGGAAGTGACCCAAGCGCACAAAGGCCAACTTTAGCCCCGAGCAGGAGCTGCCCAACAATCAGAGCCAGGGCGCTGGGCTGTAGTTTTCCTGCTGGAGAAACCGAAAGCTTCATCTGCAGGTTTTAAAGTGTGCCAGCATCCTGTGACCGCAGGCCAACTCAGACCGCTGTGCTTCCATCGATCCATGTCTAACTGACACGTGTGTTATTTATGTGACCGGACAGCACAGTGACAATGACCTGAAGAGGAAAATGACTCATGCTGTTCAAACATTTCTACAAATAAAAATCTGAAACGTGTGGCATGCATTTATTTTCAGCCTCTTTTCTTCTAAGACCCCTGGATCAAACGCAGGTCACTAACAGGACACCCACAGGTCACCTCTGTCCAGCTGTTCTGTGACAGCCTCAGAGGTCCCTGAAAGAACAGCAGTGAACAAACAGCAGGTGGGTTTGAAGGAGCGGAGGTTATAAACAGATCTCAGGCTTTGAGAGCCTCACAGAGATCCACTCACTCCGTCATCCACAGGAAGAGTAAGCAATGGCTGAGAGGCACACAGTCACTGTGAAGCAGCTGCTGAGATCCACAGTCTGTCCACAGGTCATCAGTTATAATAATCATAATAATAATAACAACAAATTTTATTTAAAAGCGCCTTTCAAGACACCCAAGGACAAAACTAAGACCTATAAAAAACAAGATAAAATAAACAAACAATAAGTTCACACAGAAGAGGCGAAAAGAAGGTAGAGCAAGTTGGCTAGAAGAAAAAGATGGAATTGAGCGAGCAGAAGAGGTGGTGCTTAACAGGTCTGAAAGGTAAGGAGGAGCAAGGTTATGAAGGGCCTTGAAGGTGAACAGAAGAAGCTTGAATACTATTCTGAATTTCACAGGAAGCCAGTGAAGTTCCTGAAGGACAAGGGTGATGCGCTGGTAGGAGGGGGTTCTGGTAATAATGCGGGCAGCGGAGTTTTGAAACAGTTGAAGCTTATGAAGGGATTTTTGGGTGAGACCATGTAAGAGAAAATTACAATAGTCACTGGGGGAGGTAACAAGACTATGAACAAGAATGGACACAGACTGAGTCGAAAGAGAAGGGTGTGAACGGGTGAGATCATTGGTCTGCAATTTATAGGATAGTGAGCTGTCAAGGATAACACCAAGGCTCTTAACCTGATGTGAAGGGAAAACTGTGGAGTTGTCAATAGTGAGAGTGAAATGATTTGCCTTCAGTAGGTTGGATCTAGTGCCAATAAGTAGAATTTCAGTTTTATCCTCATTGAGCTTAAGAAAGTTGGAGCTGAACCAGGATTTTAACTGGGATAAGTAATCTGAAATAGAAGAAGTTGGAGGGAGGAATCGGACCTGTGGGAGAGATATAACTGGGTGTTACCTGCAAAACAGTGAAAGTAGGGATCAACTTTAAAATGGTACCAAGAGGGAGGATGTATATTATGAAGAGAAGAGGGCCTAAGACTGAACCTTAGGGTACACCAGCAGTGACTGGGAATAGACGAGAGCAGAATGATTTAAGTTGGATAAACTGGGAGCGGTCAAGGAGATATGATTGGAAGCAGGCTAGAGGTGTGTCAGAGATGCCAAGAGAGGAAAGTCTGTTTAGAAGGATGGAGTGAGAGAGTGTCAAAGGCTTGAACTTAGATCCATAAGAACAAGAATGTTGAGAAGACTAGAGTCAGCCTCAAGTACAAGACACACAGCAGGGGCTCTGGTCACATGAGACCAAAACACAAACCCAACACTGCACATGAACCTAACGGAGCATCGTGCTCGTCTCCAGCAGGCAGATGAGAAGGTGGACAAAGGTAAAACAGACGGTGCTGCAGAGGAATGCTCAGATACAAGTCTAGACCCGAATCAAGCCACTCACAAACGAGCTCCAGACAGCTGAACTCACATGCTTCTCAGATTTTTACTAAAAACTTCTGAACACCACGAATCATTTTCCTTGCACCTCACAGTGAAGCACAGCCATGTGCTGCTCTGTTACATTAATGTGGGCTGACAGCAACACCGACTCCTAACATCTGAAATCTTCTCAGACCGACTCAGACTTCATTGAAGATGAAGCTGAGGATGAGGACTTCCTCAGAGAGTGAAACACGCAGCAGCAGATTAAAGCCGGACCTCCTGCTGTGGATCATCTCAAACGCTGTCTGTAACGGTCTGTCGTTTCTCTTCATTTAGAGAACATCAGTATGAACGTGTACTGTGAGCAGCTGACCCTCCATCATGCAGCTAACCACCGGGTAGAACATCACCACGTCCCTAAGCCTGCAAACATCTGCTCTCCTCTCTGTTTACATTCAACCTTACTGCAGAGCCGAGTATGCTTTACAATCTACATGACACAGCCACAAACACGACTAGAAAAGCTCTCAGAGCTACCTCACCAACCACAGAGTCAATACAACACCCCCCTCCCATTACTACAGGAAGCGCTGAGAAGTTTCCAGGAAAGCACCTGACAAACCAGGACCTGGAAAGCCGCTGCACACTCACCGATTTCTGCCAGCTGCTCCAGATCAGCCGAGGAGCTCATTCTGCTGGAAGAGAGCAGAGACTGATCAAAACAAAAAAACAAACAATCACACACACCCCTCCGGAGCGAACTGAAACCTATACAGCGCACCTGAAAACACCTGAGTTGCTCTTCAAACTCGCGGTTACCCGCCGCGCGCGCTCTCTTTTCCGTTTTTTTTTTAGCTGCACGCGGTTCACGTAGCCCTCCAATCAGTGCTAGGAGGAGGAGAAGGGGGCCAGAAACTCACCTGAGGCCGGTGAGGTGACGTTACAAACCGCCAAGCGTACAGGTAACAAACATCCAAACTTCCTCCAACTACCGCGGGCTGGCCGGCGCTCTGCGCATGCTCAGAGCACAGGGGTTTCCCACAGCGACTCTCCGGAAAATAAAAGGAAAAATATACTAATAAAAGCAGAACTTTATTTATTTTTTATATTTGTAATCGAAACATTTTTAGATTTAAATCCTGACGTGAGCGTTTGCTCTCGGCTCTGAATCACATTTTTAATCGAACTGCTTTTTTAAAGATTTATTTCCTCCTGAGTGTGACGCATGAGCGCGAGACAGTAAAAGTGCAGCTGAATCAGGCTTCAAACATCAGATCAAATTATTTTGCCTCAAATGATTTTTCATTCAAACTTTTTTTTTGTATTTGTGAGATGAACCTTCTTCCTCCTGTTGTTGCAGCAGAACTCATGTGGTGCGTTGAATTTGTCAATATTTTGTCACATTTTAAACGTTTTCTACCACATGAATATATATTTGTGCATTATCGTTCGGATTTATTTTATTTCAAATAATAAATTTTCTAATTTTAATGCCATATTATTTCTTTATTTTTCTTTGTTGTGTTTATCTTAAAAATAAATTTTCTTCAATACATTTGATGTTTTCCAGGGGTCCCCCCCCCCCTCTTTTAAATTTGTAGATAAAATTCAATAAGAACATTTAGAGAGTTAAACTGGTGTTTGGTGCACAGAAATCCTAAATCCTGGATTTTTCTCCAAAGTGAGCAGTGTGTTCTTTAAACTACACGATTACCTATTTTATAGATGAAGGTGATCACAGAGGGAGGTCACAGCCTTCCTACACTCCAAAGGAAAATCAGGAAAGTGAAGCTGGTGTGAGATTATTATTCTATCATATGTTATCCTATGCCTGTAATCGAAATGAGTGAATCATTATACTGCTGTAAGCCCCATCATACTTATTATAGAGAGTATGATCAGTAGTTTTAGTTTACATTATACTTCTGAATTAAGAAAATGTGAAAATCATTAGATTTCTTAGATAGGTTTATATTATCCTATACTGTTGATTTACTGTGAATGAATGACACTGTTTCATGACATTTCATACTGCTGAGTTAAGAAGAGCATATTGTTTGCAGAGGGCCTTGTTGTCTGATAACGGAGGAGACGGACCACATTCCACAAGAGTTTCACCCCCACCTGTTTTCTGCAAGCAGAAAGACAGGGAGCCAAGGCCATAAGTCAGGCTCAGCCAGGAGTTAGAAAACATGTGAATGTTAGGATTTTACGACTAGGTGGGGGCCATCAGAGGCTATAAGAGAGGAACCCTCCACCGTTTTGAGATTAGCTGCCTCCCCATCCGGATGGTTTGTGCTCAAAAGTGTTGAATTCTATGTAATAAAGTAATTGTTGATTGAGCATTTATACACCGAGTATTGTCCTTCCTTCAGCCCAAAGATCAAAAGAATTGGGAGGATTTAACACTGGGGATTTATTTAAAGAAGGAAACAGGATTAGAGAGCACAAAGGAGAGGAAACCAAGCCAGCGGTTTGGTTTGTGTCACCTGGGGAAGAAACCATCACCGCTGGAGTTCTCCTCGGGAGGAGATCAAAGGGTTTCCTCTCAGACTCTCTGCAGGACGAAACTTGTGAAAGCCTGACATCTGCTGGACTCTGCTGCCTCCCTCTGATGCTCTTTACAGTCTCTCTAATTACCCTCGTCTCTAACTGTTGGTCAGGGTTTTTTTTTTAACTTTACTGAAACATTTCCCCCTTCTGAGCTTCATCAGGTGAACCCAGGAGAGAGAGGATATATTTTCTGCTACCTGTCTGTGCATTAACATGCATTCTTCACCTGTTAGATGATGCGTATGTGGATCTCTCTGAAAGACAGGAGTTTTATGGAGGACAGAGCTGGATTTTCATTTGAATTCTGAGCTCATTTGAACATATGAAGCGTCTCTGGTTTCTTTCAGTGTGATGGCTCCTGCTGAGGCGCTGCAGTTTAAAAGGAAATCCTGCAGGGAAGGATTTACTCACAAACACATTTATATGCAAAGCTGTCACAAACTCTGTGGGGAAAAATTTCCAAGAAAGAGGTTTTTGTCATTTGGTCTGAAGCCGGCAGCGTTTCAGCGATGGGTGAACAAAGAGGAAGTTACATGAGACAGAAGGCAGCAGACTGAAGAATCAGCAACACAAACAGTGTAACGTCAGACACAAGCCTGCTGTTTCAAATGAGGCGGTTCAGAGGAAATTAAGCCTTCTCTGCACAGCTCACCCTTTAAAATTAGTTATTTTAAACGTACTGCCTTAAAATCACCCATCAGATCAAGACTTCAAACTCTTACAGCCCATCATACCTCAAAATAAGATTCAAATGTAGCATTTTAGGTTCCCTCATATGTTACAGATGTTTGGTGGCGTACCTCAGGGTCTGGCACTGGGCTCACTGACATTTCTTTTTCAAACTGAGCAGCAAATCACACATTTTCTCAGTATCTGTGAAACATGGTTCATGAGAGCACAAAACAGCATGTTCATTGACCAACAGTCTGAAACCAAAAATATTGAGTTTATAATATGATAAAAGAAAAAAAAAAATCCCTCACACCAGAGTACCTGTCTCACAACAGTACCACTTCTTGTCACACGCACTTAGGGAATGAAACACCTTTAATGTTACAGCAGCTTGGAAGTCTGTAACTTGATATGGAACTGTCACCGTTTCACCTACAAATGATTTAGCATCACCAGTTCACCTAACATGCATGTCTTTGGACTGTGGGGAGAAGTCTGAGTACTCTACAGACAGAGAAGGATTCAAAGCGTGAACCTTCTTGGTGTGAGGTGATCCTGATCAGCTCTGGATAAACTTGATGCTGCTAACAAGTAAAATATGCTGAATGAAACATTAGAGCAATAATGAAAGTTTTAAAACAGAAGCTCAACAGACAGGACAGGACTCTTTAAGCGAAACAGCAGCTAAGAGGACGCCTTAAGTTTAAAACTTTAGCTGTATTGGAGTTCAGGCTTCACCTGCAGAAGCTTCAGGTCAAAGATCTGCTCCATCTAAACCTGAAGTCTATTTGCCGCCATTTATTACAGTCAAAGGAACGAGTGTGATGCACTGCCAACTGAGGGCGCCTCATCAGGTCTGTTAATGCACACACAATGAGATCCTAACCCAGCATGCTTCTGATATTTCAGGGTGTTCTGAGAGTTGTACTACAGCCCCTCCCCTCAGGCTGTAAGGGTTAAATTAGCCCCATTACATAAGACAGTAGCTGTTTATAGCACAGGAAACATGCAGGTCGGCACTCTGAGCTGTCAGGTTGGGGAATCAGCGATGGCTGTCAGGACCTCAGAGCCAGGAATGCTTGGCGGCACGCTCACGGCCACTGTGTTCACCACTCCTGCTGACATGATCAGAAACGAGGCACGAGACCGTGGGTGTGTTTCTAGTCGACGCTGAATATTAACGAGCTTCTGGGGCAAATCTGATGACCTGCTCATTAGAAAAACAGGTGAGGGGCGTGAAACCCCCTCTGGTGATACCGTGTATGACTTCATTATAATCTGCTGGCTGTTCAGCTACACACTCAAGCAGAATAATGCACGTTATTAGCTTATCAGCCCGTGACGACAGCCACTGTATGGATTCATGATGATAAGAGCTTCACATATAAGAGCTGACTGCTGGGGAGATGGTTTAGTGCTCCACACAATAAAATACACACCATCAAACTCCATCTGAGAGCAGCGGGGGGGCCAAGGACACAAAGGGGAGAGAGTTCTGATATGGTATTCTCTGATTATGCAAATCAAGTATATAGGGACTATGTGACCCAAATATGGAGAGGAATAATGATGAGCCTAATCATAAGCAGGAAGATACTTGACACCTCCACATACAGTAAGACTGCGAGTACAAGTGGAAGATTACAACCACCCCAAATCAAAATATAGTTTAAGGGAAAAAGGAGGGTTTATATAAACTGAGCAGCTCACTGTATGAATTTTCTGATTTATCTTTTAAATGAGAGCAATTAGCACGCAGTCACTTCCTTGGTGTAAAAATTAAGCTTCTTCTAGAACTAACGTTGTATTTCTTTTTATGAGGAAAGTGGGTTTCTTTTTAGAGAGAAAATAGAAAAAAACTACTCACACTTGGCACGAAAATATTGTATTGAAACCTGGAGATGAAGAAGCCCTCCAGAGATATTTGACTGTACTGAAAGAGAGAACACATGCCTTTGTGTATACCTGAGATAGTGAGAGAGGGAGCTGGGAATCCTCTTCTTCATTATGTGCTTCCACCATGGAGGCTCTATAAATAGAGTCAGGGAGGAGAGATGGAGGGGGAATAAAGCTGAAAAATGCTGAAGGTAACATTTAGACTAAAGGATGAAGATGTTCAGTGTCTTATGTATGCAAGAGGAGGCATCCATCCAACCATCCAAAAATGTCCTTTACTTAAACATGCATCCAACACTTCCTCTGTGTCATCCAGCAATAAAAGAACCTGATTTCATTCAGTTCAGTAGTGCCAAGTGGCAGCCCGGTGATCCACCTGTTTAACAGTTTAGCTATCCATCAACGCCAGCAACTAGTAAGCTTAGGATCATTATTACCCAGAAGATCCAAGTCATCAGCCTAAAGCTGAGAAAAGATGGTCATACAAAGCTGATGTTTAAATGTAAAACTTGTAATTTTCTTTCCTAAAGTCCAGCAGAAAACTGCCCCACCCCTCACTTATGACCTGCCTGCTCAGTTTCACCTCAGCTAATTGGAGTCCCTGAACTGGACCTCTGGACTGTGTTTGTGCTGTTGTATACTTTGGAGCATTTTTAATGACCAACAGTATGGCTGCTGTCAGGTTCAACCTGATCATTTAACCTAATAGTTAAATGATTATTCTTCTTAAGGTACTTTTGACTGTTTCCTTAGTTCTCAGTGGGTTCCCACAGTAATGTTCATGTTTGATTAA